TTTCTCTTCCCGCTCTCTGATCAACGTGGCTCTAACCCAGCCAGCTAGGGAGCCCCAGCAGGCAGTCCCCAGGAGTTGGTCTTCTGGGACAAAGAACAAGACAGAGAATGGATCTGGGCCATGGGAGTGAATGTAGAATAACCAACTCAAGCACCAGCCTATATGGGCCCTATGGATAGAGAATGAATTAAGACACAGTTTCTTCCCTCTTTTGCCTATGGGAAAGCCTCCTCTGATACCCTCTGAGAAGAATTATGGACCTTTCTACTCTATTCCAGAATGCATGGAAAATGTCTATCAGCCCTTGCCTCATGTGTATCATACTGGATTGCATCCATGTGTTTACTAGACTGTCTCACTTTCTCAAGTGTGACCTCATTGAACTCAAGGGACTAGACCTTGCTCACTGTATCAGTTAGTTATTGCCACACTCACACTGCATAACAAACAACAGTACAGTCTCAGTGGCAGACAAGAAGAAGCTCTTATTTAGCTCACACAGCTGGGTGCTGGCTAGGGGCTGCTGATGGAGCCTGGGCTTGGTGGAATGACTCTGCTCTGCTCCATGCATCTTTCATTCTCCTTGGACCAGTAGACTAGCCTTGAGATGCACTTCTCACAGCAATGGCAGAGATGCTAGAAGGTAAACAGAAAAATGCAAGGCCCTGTAAGGCCCAGGCTTAGAACTAGCACTCCATCTCTTCTGCCATACTCTACTCATCAAAATAAGTCACTTGGTCAAACCCAGATTTAAGGAGCAAAAAATTCTCCTCTGCCTCTTGAGTGTAAAGAAATGCAAAGTCACATGGCATGGCAAAGGGCATGACTACATGGAGAGAACATGAACCAGGACCAAAAATGCAATCTGCCACATCAACCTTTGTGTCTCTACTGCTTGATGTGTGATAAGGAACCCGGTAGAGGCTGCTGACTTGAAATGAGAAAGCTAAGCCAAGAGTGATAAAGTGACCTGACCAACTAAGTGGACAGCAGGCCAGGGAGACCGAAAGTGTATGCTAGGAAGCATTCAGTAAGACAAATAAAGCTGAAAAGGGTTTTCCCAATGATTTAGGCTGATTCCCCCATTTTACAGAGGATCCGTAATCTGAGAGATTAAGTTGCTCACTCAAGATCCTGCAGCTTATCTGTGGCAGAGCTTGCTCTAAAAGGAAAATGTCCTGTGCTCTCCCAACCTCCTCTGGTGTGGTGTGTTGTGCCCCTGTGAGCGGTAGCCAGTTGAGGGCCCATCATCAGTGTGATGGGATGGGGTTTTCTCCCTCTTCACTGCCCTTTCATAAACTAGGACCTGGAAAGGCACTCTTTGGTAATGGGACTCAAAGTTGAAGCAAGTAGATATTAAATTCCAGGAAATGAAGTCAGAGGATGCCCATTTGACAGTGTGAAAAGTCTACTTTTCTGGAAAATGCTCCACTTGCAAGATCAAAAGAACTCTTTCCCCTAGGCAGACCCCCAATATAACCCTAATTCTACACCCCTACTGATGGAAGCTAGATCTGGCAGAGTTCGTTATTAAATTCCCTTACTGTCAGTCAGCCAAGCACACTCAAAGAGTCTAGTATAAGGCATAAAAGAGTCCTTTATTTTATGTTCCAGTCCCATCTTCCAGCATTCACAGGGTGCACGTGGCGTTGGAGGATTCAGAAGTGGCTCTGCGTCTCTTTTTAACTCAGCCTCCAGCTTCCCCTGGGTGTAGATCTCTTTATCTCACCTGCCCAGGTGGCTTCCCTTCTCATGGTGACTAGAAGATGAAGCTATCTTTTTCTTTGGCACACTCTTCTCTTTAACCTATTTCTTCCGCCTTTAGACTTACAGTTAGAGCATTTGCCAGGTGTTATATCATTTATATATATGCTTGTGTTATGCTAAAAGAGTGCCTGGCTCTCCCTCTGTTTTATTTATTTTAGTTATGTCCTTGTTTTATTTTGACTGTATTTACAGGCATAGCTAAGCTTTAATATCATGGGTGTAAGTGTAGGTGGGGGACAGCCCAGAGCGGTGGTGGAGGCTGTGGTGGTAATGATGGTGGCGATGGTGACAGTGGTGGTGATGATGATAATGGTAGTGGTGGTGACAGTGGTGATGATGGTGATGATGGTGGTGGTAGTGGTGGTGTTGATGATGGTAATAGTGAAAGTGATGGTGGCGGTGGTGGTGGTGGTGACGTAATGATTGGGGTTGGGTGGTGGTACAGCCGCATCACTGATTAGTAGGATAACAAACTTCAACTTTTGTCTACTTTTGCTAGGGATTTCATGGTCTTGCTTTCACACTGTATCACTAAAAAAAAAAACCATCGTACTCTCAACAACAATCATTTGTTGTTACTAGCTATGCCTTTAACTACAGTCAATCGTGTCCAAAAATTACCTGAAAAATTATTGGACAGCCGCCAGCTGGGGACAATGTGCCAGGGGATGAGCTTCCATGTTGAACATCTTTGAGTCTCTGTTCCTTCATATTCAGTCTGGTCTTAGTGACCTCAGTGTGAGTGTACAGAAGAAACCCAATAACATGTGTGAGAAGTCACAGGAATAATAGTAACGACCAGTAATTTAGCATCTACTCAGTGAAAATACTGGAAAGTTCACGTACATTACTCATGATTCTAAAACAATCCTGCGGGCACTGTTTTGTCCTGCAGCAGTCCCCCCTTAGCTGCAGTTTTGCTTTCTGTGGTTTCAGTTACCTGCAGTCAGCCATGATCTGAAAATATTAAATGGAAAATTCCAGAAATAAACAATTCATAAGTTTTAAATTGCCTGCCATTCTGAGTGATGTGATGACACCTCTCACTGTCCTGTTCCATTCCGCCCAGGATGTGAATTGTCCCTCTGTCCAGCCGATCCTTACCATATACACTACCCACCCGTTAGTCACTTAGTAGCCGTCTTGTTACCAGATTGACTGTCATGGTCTCTCAGTGCTTGTGTTCAAGTAACCCTTATTTTCCTTAATAATGGCCCCAAAGCACAAGAGCAGTGATGCTGGCAATTCAGATATATCAACGAGAAGCTGTAAAATGCTTTCTTTAAGTGAAAAGATGAGAGTCCTCGACTTGAAAGAAAAAAAATCTTATGCTGAAGATGCTAAGATCAATGGTAATTTTTTTTACAGTGTATTGTTATAATTGTACTATTTTATTACTAGTTACTGTTGTTAATCCTTTATTGCACCTAATTTATATGTTTTTAAATTTTTATTTATTTTTATTTTTTATCTCTTTTTGAGGAAGATTAGCCCTGAGCTAACTACTGCCAGTCCTCCTCTTTTTGCTGAGGAAGCCTGGCCCTGAGCTAACATCCGTGCCCACCTTCCTCTAGTTTATATGTGGGACGCCTACCGCAGCATGGTGTGCCAAGCGGTGCCATGTCTGCACCCGGGATCCAAACGGGCTAACCCTGGGCCACTGAGAAGCAGAAAGTGCGCACTTAACTGCTACGCCACAGGGCCGGCCCCACACCTAATTTATAAATTAAACTTTATTGTAGGTATGTATGTCTAGGAAAAAACATAGTGTATATAGGGGTCAGTACTATCCCCAGTTTCAGGCAGCCACTGGGGGTCTTAGAATGTATCCCTCACAGATAAGGAGAGATTGCTGTATTTACTTATTTCGCTTTGATTCAGAATGAATTTACAGGTTTACGAGTCAATTTAAATCAGATAAAACAGCATCAATTTAAAAATTAGGGGCCGGCCTTGTGGCCGATTGGTTAAGTTTGCATGCTCCGCTTCAGCCGCCCAGGGTTTCGCCTGTTTGGATGCTAGGCGTGGACCTAGCACCACTCATCGGGCCATGTTGAGGTGGCATCCCACACGGCACAACCAGAAGGACCTTCAACTAAAATATACAACTATGTACCCAGGGGCTTTGGGAAGAAGAAGAAAAAGGAGAAGGAAAAAAAAAAAGATTGGCAACAGATGTTAGCTTTGGTGCCAATCTTTGAAAAAAATATTAGGTACAAAACAAACAAGAAATAAGACTAAAGTGGAGCCAGCAAAAATGCTGAAAAGACCAGCATGATGACCCCCTCCTACTTCTGGGGCAAATTGGGCCCATAATTTTCTAGCAGCCATTTTGAAAGGGAAAACTTGGTTAAACAACTCAACTTGTGTCAGGGAAAAGCCTGCTGGTAGTTTGGTAGACCAGAAATCCTGTAGGTGACCTCCAGGCCAGCTTCCCAGTGGTGGGGGAGCCGGGTGGGGACCCAGGGCCTTGCAGCCTGCAGCAACCCCGCTGCCTCACTGCCTTGAGTTCCCCTTCCTCCACTCTGTGAAGGTGGCAGTGGACGTTACAGACAGAAGGCAAGGGGGCTGATTCTAACTCTCTTTCTAGAACAGGAGCCCCTGGCCAGCTTATGTGTGCCTTGCAAGCGGTCGGAAATCTATAAAAGGCTGAGTGTTTAGGATTTGTTCTCAAGCTTGTGTAAGACATACACAGCCACCCATTCAAACTGCTGTGGGATTCTTGGTTGCCTTCTACCATCTCTTGCTTCATACAATGCTCCCTTCCGGGCAACCAGATGCTGCAGAAGACTCAGGGCAAGGGGAGTGTGCGGCCATATGAGAAGGGAAAGGGGGTCTGGGTGGGGGCATGAGTGGGACTTTCCCATCTCTCCATTCCGAGGGATTTAGATGCTTAACTGCCTTTCACACTAATCCCTGGAAATCCTAACACTTGCGGAATGAGGAATTTCTCACTTAGGAGAGAAGGCTGCAACCCGATTATTACCCTTCTGGGTGATGTGTGAAGGCACATGTTAAATGATGCGTTAGCAGATAAGCAAGCGAGCCTGGAGGTGGGAGACTCCAGTGCTCTGTGCTCCCTGTCTCCTTGTTTAGAATTCTTTCTTGGAGCTACGCTATGATCTCCAGGTTCTATTTATCACTGTCAGCCCGAGAACGGGGAAAGTGCTTGTGTTCTCTGTGCTGATTTGATTTTATTCCTCTTCCTTGATGCCTCGGTCTCCCCGGTCTAGGACATGTCCTTGAGAGGTAGAAGGCTTGTGCTTGGATGATAAGACGACAGTGGAAGCTGACTGCTTCACCTGCGTCTTCTTGGCTCGTCATAACAGGTACTATTACCATCTCCAGGTGCACATAAGGAAAGTAAGATACAAGGAGGTTAAAGAAACTGTGTCTTGTCACATGGCTTAGATGTAGCGTGGCCCAGACTTGAACCTAGGCTCACAGGATGAACTGATAGTTTTTGTAGCCTCCTCCCAACATGGAAGCAGCAGGTTGGTGCAGCACAAGGGTCAGGGCCTTGAGTTTGATGGGACACCTGGCATAGACAGCTGGGAGATCCTTGGTAAGGATGCTGCTTCTCTAAGACCCAAATTTCTTGATTTTAAGGGGATGCTGTTGGTCTAGATAGTCTCTAAATTACCTTCTAGTCATGATAAGATGATAAGGTGTAAGATGGCTGCTCCAGCTCCAGCTGTCACAACTTTAATCCAGTGTCCGGGAAAGAGGAAAAGAAAAAAGGGCACAAACATTCCACTTAAGCATACATACAAATTGTGTATGTATGCTTGTATAACTTGTATACATACATATAACTTGTATACATACAAGTTATACAAGCCATATTATAGACACAGAAGGGTTTACATACATAGGGATTTACATACATAAGGACCACACAAGTCATATTCACTTACATCCCATGGATTAAACTTTGTCATATGTCCATATCCACTGCAAGGGAGGTTGGGGGGTGTAGTATTTATTCTGGTGGCTGTGTACCCAGCCAATATTTGGGGGGTTCTATTGCGGAGGAATAAAGGGAGAATACCCCTTGGGGGAGACTAAGGTAACACACCTACTTTCCTGTAAAGTTCAAATACAGGTGCATTGCCCCCTCAACCCGTGCTCTCTCCATAGCATCACAGATGTAGATTACATTTCTCTGAGGTTCTTAACAAAATTTCTTGAAAAATTCTGGTCACAAGGGGTAGCAGCTGGCAAATTCCAGACTCAGACAAATTGGCAAGAGTGCAGACAGAGGGGGTGAGGATGAAGTGGGGAGAGAATCAGGGCCAGCTGTGACACAGTGCCTCTGTCTGACTGGGTCCCTTATGTCGAGGAAACCCTTGTCTGCCCTTGGAGCAGAGCAGAGGAATCAGGTTGCCCATCGCTGGGGCAAGAAGGAGAAATGAGATTGCACAATGCCGAGAGCAAAGGACAAGAACTTCTGGGAAAAATCAGACACATGTAAAAATTCCGTTCTATAAATATAAAATGACTTGCTGCTAAGACAGTGGCCCAAACTTCAGCAGGCAGCAAGAGTATTTCCTATAACCTGAAACAGCAGCCTAGAACTCTGGGAAAAGCCATAGCAAGACGACCTGGATCCACAATTAATAAAGGGTAGAAATGTGGAGGCTTCAGTATGGTTCAGTCTCTGAGACTTGAGAAGGACATGTGTGAGAGAGAGGGGTGTGTGTGTGTGTGTGTGTGTGTGCACCTGCGCGTGTGCATGTGAGAGATTGAGAGCGAGAGAGAGAGAGAGAGAGAGAGAGAGAGAGAGAGAGAGAGATGTATGTGGGTGGAGCATAGAGAGATAGACATGGGGAAGAAAAGCAGAGATAAAGATGGGAAAGTGAGCATGAGAAAGGAAAGTAAGAGGGAGGAAAGGAAAAAGAGAGTTTGAGAGAGGATAGAAAAGAAATACAGAAAAACAGATAGATAGAAAAAAAGAAAGAAGGAAGGAAGGAAAAATGGAGAGAAGAAGGGAGGGAGGGAAAAAGGAAGGGAAGGAGAGAAAGCAGAAAGGATGGAAGGAAGGAAAGAGGGAAAGGGAGAGAGCTGTTTACCTGTGTGTGCACATCAGGAAACAGAGAGTCGAGTAATACAAGGTTTTGCAAGCCTCTGATACAACTTAATATCAAAACCCAGCCCACCGAGCATACCAGATCTAATGGTAGTACCCTCAGGTCCTGGGATGAAGTGAGGACCCACTGCTGTTTCTCCTCCCTTTCTCTTTCCCAAGCATGGTCCCAGCCCTGCATCATCCTCATCTCACCCCGTCTCCGTGCCAGTGAGATCCTGGAGCCTGTTGGGAAATTGTGGAGGTTTTTGCCAATGTCATTGGCCATATTTTGGCCAAGGAGACCAGGGGCTTCGGTCTGCCATGTGTTTTCAGCGTGCTGGCTGCCTGCGAACACATCTGTCAACCTTAACATCAGAGAACAAAAGCTTGGATTTGACATGAAAAGGACAGCACAAGAGCAGCCCTGACCGGACCGCCATGTGGCATTCCTAAGCGTGCAGAGATTCAGCCTGGAAGATATGCACAGTACTTGAAAGAAGTCTTTTATCCAGGCAAGAGGGGATAAACACATCTGTATGGCATTGATTTTCCCCCCTTTCTTTCTGGGATTTGGAGCTGGGCTGGGGGAAGGAACAATGAAAACATTTGAAACATCTGACACTGAGTTGGGGCTGTGGGTAGACAGCATTTGGGGGGAAATGAAAGGTGAAATGCCAAATTTAGTTTGGCTCTTCTTTCTTTCTGGCGCCATTTTTCTCTCTTATATTCGACCCATATTTTCCTTTTAGCACCAATGGGGGGTGGGGTGGATCATGTAACATTCCTACTTAGCACATACATAGCTAGCCTTGTCTTGAAAGGGAACCATACACTGACAACGGAAACCTCGCAACCTCCCTAGTGGGAGACAACATGGGGCTTCTGGCTTCCAGGATATTTATTTTGGTTACTGTTTAGTGTACCGAACACCAACCAGGCTCCCTTAACTTGCAACTGAAATGGGATCAGAATCCAAGAGCATGACGTCTCTGCTGGAAACACAAAGGTTGTAGCTCTCCGAGAGCAAACAATTGTACGTAAGAAGAAATAAGTCATTCGTACAGGGTGGGGCAAGTATATCCATGTGGCAGGAAGAAAGAGTTTTGTATGCTATGTTCTGGAATGTGTTGGGCTGTTTTTATAGCCCACTGGTCCACTGGTGCAGTTGGGGCTCTGCTGTGATCTACCAGATGTCCTGGAAAAAGGATGGCTAGAGCAGGTCAGATAAGAGAATCATGAAGTTCGTTCGTCACCCAAGACTTATCAGACCTGACGCGGATCGTGTGGTTAGGTATTGAAGGCGACTTTGATTCAAGCCCAGGTGTTTTATCCAGTAGCTGAATTGTCTTTGGAAATTCAACCAACCTTTCTGAGTTTCATAGTCTTAGTTTTCAAAACTAGGATGTTTTGAGATATAAATGAAAATATAATATATAGGTTATCAAAAAGCCTAATATAGTAGGAAATTAGCAAATGCTAAGGAATCTATATTTTCTTATTTCCTGTCAGTGTGTCCTCAGTTAGACTGTAAGCTTCTAGAGCGTGTATATTCTAATTTTAGTGATTTCTATTGTATTTAGCTTTAGTGTTTTGTAAACTTCCATTGAAAATTCCTTACTAAATGTGCCTTGGTTGATTATCATAAACTTTTTTTCCCTTCTAAGGTCAATTTTGGGGTACGTTTTTTGGGAAGTCTTCCTGGGGCCCTTAAAGTCTTTTTTTAATGGCGCTTTGATTGAGATATAATTCACATACCGTAAAGTTCACCCTTTTAAAGTATACATTTCAGTGATTTTTAGTATATTCACAAAGTTTTATACCCATCGTTGCTCTCTAATTCCAGAACATTTCATCAGCCTGAATAGAAACACTGTACCCATTAGCGCTCACTCTCCATACCCTCCTACTCCTCTTGCCTGTCCAAGCAACCACTAGTTTATTTTCTGTCTCTTTCCATTTGCCTATCGTGGACATTTCATAAAAATGGAATCACACAATATGTGGTCTTTTGTGACTGGCCTGTTTCACTTACCATAATGTTTTCAAGCTTTACCCATGCAGTAGCATGTACCAGTACTTCATTCCTTTTTATGGCTGAATAATATTCCATTGTATGGATACACCGCACTACATTTTGATTATTTGTTCATCAGTTGATGAACGCATGGGTTGTTTCCACTTTTTGGCTATTATGGATAATTTTTCAATGAACATTCATGTACAAGTTTTCGTGTGGACATGTTTTCAATTCTTTTGTACGTATACTTAGGAATGGAATTGCTAGGTCAGATGATAACTCAGTGTTTAACTTTTTGAGGAACTGCCAAACTGTTTTCCAAAGTGGCTGCTATCTTATATTCCCACCAGCAATATATGAGAGTTCCAATTTCTCCGCATCTTTGCCAATATTTGTAATTGTCTGTCTTTTTTATTATATCCATCCTCGTGGGTGTGAAGTGGTATCTCATTGTGGTTTTGATTTGGATTTCCCTGATGACTAATGATTTTGAGCATCTTTTCACATGCTTACTGGCCATTTGTATATCTTCTTTAAAGAAATCCCTCTTTAAATTCTTTGCCCTTTATCAGGTTGAGGAAGTTCCTTTCTATTTCTAGTTTGTTGAGTGTTTTTATCATGAAAGGGTCTTGGATTTTGTCAAATGCTTTTTTCTGCGTCTATTAAGATGATCATGTATTTTTTCTTTTATTCTATTAATATTGTGTTTTACATTAATTGATTTTCATGTGCTGATTTCATATATTTAACTAATCTTGAATTCCTGAGATAAATTCCTCGTGATCATGATACATAATCCTTTTTATATGTTGCTGGATTCAATTTACTAGCATTTTTTGAGAATATTTATGTCTTTATTCACAAGGTGAATTGGTCTGTAGTTATCTTTTCTTGTGACACCTTCGGCTAGTTTGGTTATCAGGGTAATACTGGCCTCCTAAAATGAGTTGAGATGTATTTCCTCCTCTTCTATTTTTGGAAAGAGTTTTTGAAGGATTGATATTAATTCTTCACATGTTTGTTAGAATTCACTTGTGATGCTTTCTGGGCCTGGACTTTTTACTGTGGAACTTTTTGATTATTAATTTAATTTGTCGTTATAGGTATATTCAGATTCTCTCTTTCTTCTTGAGTCAGTTTCTGTAACTATGTCTTTTTAGGAATTTTTAAATTCAGTTTACGTTATTTAATCTGTTGCAAACAAGTGTTCATACTATTATCTTAGAATCCTTTTATTTCTGTAAAATGGGTAATGACGTCCCATCTTTCATTCCTGATTTTAGTAATTTGATTTCCTCTCTGTGTCTTGATGAGTCTAGAAGTCTGTCATTTTTGTTGATCTTTTCAGAGAAACAACTTTTGGTTTCACTGTTTTTCTCTATTATAGTTTTCTATTCTCTATTTCGTTAATTTCCACCCTAATCTTTATTGTTTCCTTCCTTCTACTTGTTTTGTCTTTAATTTGCTCTTCCTTTTTCAGTTTCTTAGGTAGAAAGTTTGGTTATGGATTTAAGATCTTTCCTCTTCATATACTCCTATACTTGATATAATTTCACTCCTTTTAAATTTATTGAGGCTTGTTTTATGGCCTAACATATTGTTTATCCTGGAGAATGTTTCATGTGCACTTGAGAAGAATATGTATTTTGCTGTTGGCTAGAGTGTTCAATAGATGTCTGCTAGGTCTAGAGAATCAAATACTTGTTTTTTAGTGTTTTTCAATCTTCTATTTATTTGTTGCTAATCTGCTCATTATTGAAATGGATCCATCAAAAATGAATATCTTATTCATTATAGAAAGAAGGGGAAATTGAAATCTCCAATTGTTACTGTTGAGTGGTCTACTTCTCCCTTCAACTCTGTTTTTGTTTCATCTATTTTGGGGCTCTCTTATTAGGTAAATATATGTTTATAATTTATATCTTCCTGATGGATTGTCCCTTTAATCATTATCAAATGTTCCTCTTTGTCTCTAGTAAGAATTTTTGTCTTTGAGTCTATTTTGTCTGGTATTAGTATAAATACCCCAGCTCTCTTTTGGATACTCTTTGCATGGTATTCCTTTTCCATCATTTTACTTCAATATACTCATATCTTTGAATGTAAAGTATGTCTTTTTTAGACAGCATTTAATTAGATAATTTTTCCCCCATTCAGTCTGCCAGTCTCTGTCTTTTTATCGGACTCTATTGTCCACTTAAATTTAGTGTAGCTGCTATCCCTGACTTTTTTAAAGTGTCATTTCTCAATGTTTCCTCCTTGTTCTCTCTCTCTTATTACATTATTTCATTTTTAAAACGTTTTCATAAAAACTAGACATTGTCTCCTTGAGTTTAGTGACATGTTTGTCTTAGTGCTTCCAATGACTGTTACCACGCCCTGTGTATATCTCTTAATGTTTGATGAATAAGTGGTGAAGTTTAGGGATTGAGAAATTTAATTAAACTGGTTGAGAATTTCCCATAGGGGCATGACGCAGAGAAACAGAGAGAGTTTTTCTGATAAGACATTCATTTCATCTTCTTTTTATAGAAATGCGTTGTTTCCCACTAATGTCTGATCATCTTTTAGAAACTCAGTCAATACACCACAATTACAAATATGCTTCTGGTGTTAATCAGGCACCAATGTGGATGCAGGAATCAGAGGCTGTCCCCCAGGGCAGACCTGACTCAGCCACTCAGTTGTAGGAAGAGAAGCTGCGACAGAGAGAGCAGATTCTTGGCTGGGTGTGTGATCCAAGAGAGCAAGAGACCAGTGAGATTGAGAGATAAGCCCATTGCTATTTCAGTGTAGTGATGCTGTCTCCTGATACAGGTAGCCCAATGGATGTCAGGATTTGCTGACATCACCAGTTAAGTTACTTCTCTTCTCAGGTACAGGATACAAGGGTGGAGAGAGAAACTAGATGAAACGAGTCTATACTATCTTCTCCCGGGGAGTGGAGCAGAAGTTCCCTATTATATCAGGACTCTTTTTAGAAACTCTCCAAACTCAAACTGGCTTTAGTAAAGAGTTTATTGATCCATGTAACTGTAAAGTTCAGGATTCTTTAGCAGCTTGATTGATGCCATGAGAACTGAATTTATCTTTGTCTCTCCCTGCCTTTAACATGGTGGCTTCCTTCTCAGGCTCTTCATGGTGGCCCTTAGCACCACAGGCTCACATCCTCCCAGATTTAAGTGCTACAGATAAGAGGTTATGTTTCTTTTTCAGAAATCCAAACAAAAGAATTGTTATATTTCAATGACTCTGATTGGGTCATATGTCCTTCTCTGAAGAAATCACTATGTCCAGAGCCATACAATGACCTGAGTAGTCACTTCTGGATCTGGCATGGCATCAGCTCTATCAAAATACATATGAGCTAAGTTGGGGACAGTTGGCTCTGGAGGGGAATATCAGGGTACCAGTCAAGGAAAAGAGTTGCAATGGACAAAAAGGACAAATGCTCTCTTTACTTCCCCTCCGTGGAAGTGTAAGAACTGTAATGACGTTCCTGTTAACATCTTTGAGGTTTGTGTTGTCCAATATGATAGCCATTAACCACATGTGTCTGTTGAACACTTGAGAGGGCGCTGCTTCAAACTGAGGTATAAAATACATATTGGGTTTTGAAGACTTGGTAAGAAAAAAAAGAATGTAAAATATCATTAATAATTTTCTTTTATTGATTACATGTTGAAATAATTTGAATATATTGGGTTAAATAAAATATATTGTCAGAACAAAATCCTTATTTCTTTTTATTTTCGTAATGTGGTTACTAGAACATTTAAAGTTACATTGTGGCTCACATTATATTTCTCTCGGACAATGCTGTTCTAGACGTTTCTAGATTGATCTTTCAACTGCCATATTAGATGGCAATTCTCTTGAGATCAAGAGCTATGCCTTATATTA